AGCATTTGGAACTGGGACGATGCGGCGGACAACGGAGGGCGATCTGAAGGAGGCCGAGAGCGCGACCAACGAGAACACCAAGGACAACCACATGGGGGACTACCACAAGTTCAGAGCGAGGAGGACCAGATGGGGGGCTCGCCAGGACAGCCGAGCCACATGGACCCTCAACCTCCGCTACAACCAGAACCGCTTCCCCAGCACGGGGGGGCCCTGTGGGGGGGGCACCGCCGTGCAGCCAGAAACCGATGACGGAGATGACTGGGAGGCTTGGGGTGGTTGGTGGGAACGACTACGTGGACCTAGCCATGGACGAGACGACCACCAGGGGGGGGACCACGGGCGCGATCCACTCCTACCTGTACATGCTGATCATCGACAACAAGGAGGACAGGGTGACGGGCGTGATCGACGACTACCGGAACGAGAGGTGCCACCGGACCAAGAAATGCCAACAGAAGGGGGACAGCCGCAACCACACGAACATGGACATGGAGCAGCGCAGGAACAAGCCGAAGGGCAGTTTCGACCTCTACCTGCGCAACCTGGGGAGCGACGTGGAGCTGAAGAAGAAGACGGGCACGAGCCCCCCAGGATGGGGGGGCCGCCCAAGGAGGAGGCTCTGAGTACAGAGATGCGCCCCAATGGGGGAACGACCAATGGACAGTCAGAGAGTGGAGGTCGACCAGATGGAGGTGGTGGAACTACCCGCGAGATCGACCTGAAGCCTCATGGTTTGAAGTGCAACTTCGAGACTGGCGGGCTGCAAGGCAGGAGCGAGCTGAAGAGCAGCAAGGGTGGTGGCCCGAAAATGGGGGGGATGGGACAGACGACGACGCCGACCAGTCCTACGACCCGGCACTCCATGCCTGGAACCCCGGAGACCGCGCACCAGACGCCGACATGGAAGAGCCGGCCCAGGCCCAAAGCTATGATGCGGCAGCCCATGCATGGAACCCTGGGCCTACGCAGGGCCCGCTGGCGCAAGAAGCGCCCGGCAACCACCAGTCGGGCGACAATGTGGATGAGGACACAGTGAGCCAAGAAGCCAAAGCGCGAGCGTGGGAACAGTACCTACAAGAACGGGGGGGGCAAGCTACAAGTGGAGAGCCTGCTCCACAGATGCCTCCTTGGTTTGGAGAGGAGGGAAAAAAGGGGGCGAGCGAGCCGGTGGACATTGGACCGCCGGGCTATCCGCCTACTGATCGACGGCGAGTCCGCTACCTGAACAAGGGGGCCATGGAGGAGATTCGCAACCGGCCCTACTTGGAAAAGTGGCAAAATGAGCGACGCCGCTATGAGCAGAGGGACGAGCCTAAGAAAAACAGGGCCACGCGCATGGGGGCCAGCCAACAGGGAGGTCGCCAACACAGCCACGGGAACCCCTCTACCAGCTCTGCCTCGTCGTCTACCTCCTGGGCAAGTGGGCCAACTACGTCCGGGACTTCTGCGAGCTGGCGGGGATGGTCTTCGTGGAGCACGTGGACATCGGGGGCCCAACACAGACCGAGGCACGACGGGGGACAGGGACCAGTGCGGCAAGAACGCAAAGCTCGCCAATGGGCTGACTGGCAACAATGGGAACGGGCTTGGCACACGGAATGGAGCGAACTGGTCCACCGTAGTGGCAGCACTCCGACGCCGGGGACGGGTGAGGAATGGAGTGCCATGCTCAACCGCCATCGGCACCGGCCAAGACCTTTGCATGATGGAGAAGAACAGCGAGACCCGGAACAACGTGACCCCCACGAGCCGGACCGTCCTGAACAACCGCAAGCGGACCAGCCTGGTGGGCGAGGCCAACAGCCGGAACAATGTCAGCAAGCGGAACAAACAGAGTGGAGGAGGCGGAGGATATCATAGACGCCCTGCTGGACAGCCTGGAACACCAGCCTACGCAACAAGAACGGCCACACCAAGAAGACAGACACGCGGCCAGCGAATACAAGGACGACAAGGAGGACCAAGCTCTGCTTCAATGTGGGCTTGTGGGCCGCCGCCCACCAGACACGGGGAACACCATGAACGACTACGCTGACGACCTGCTCGACGATGACGACCCGCCCGACTATGTGCACAAGGACGACGACCGCCAGAGCAAGAGCTATGGGGACGAGACCGCAGACGAGGAAGATGAAGTGGCATGGGTGCAAGGGAAAAAGAGGAAGAGAGGAGATGGGGACCCAGAAAACCACACCGACTACACCGACCTCGCCGAGAACGCGCAAGGGAGTGGGGGACCTCCTGAAGGCGAAGAACGCAATCATGGAGGACCACAGACCGGAGAAGGCGAGGGCGAGGCAGCGGAGACCCACGCCAGTAACGCGGACTGCGACCTGGAAGAGCAACAAAGGGTTGAAAGGGAGCTGGAAGAGGAGCGTGCACTGCAAGAAGAATGGGAACAAGACCGAGCCCTACATGAAGAATGGGTGCAGAAAACCATCGACGAGTACCTCGCGGAAGAAGATGATCGGGGGGCCAATCGACCGCCGGAGGGGACCACCAGCATCACCACGTGGCTGCGGTCACAATGGCTCTCAACCGATGGATGGTAGGGGCCACAGCGACCGGCGGCATGGAGATCGAAGTGGACAGTGTGGTGGAAGTGCTCACGCACGTGCTCAACCTGAACCAGCTGCTCCTCGAAGAAAAGGGCGAGCCGATGTTGCACCTCACCGTCCTCTACCAGATCATGTCCAGATGGCGACAAGAGCGCGCTTGGCGCAACAAGGTCGAGATAGAAACGATGGGGAGGATCTGGCAGGGATACCTGGAGGCCCTCCATTCCAAGGGGGCCCGGTGGGAAGGGGCCAAGCTGATGGAGCACAACCCGGAGGACGTGAAGGACCCGAGCCAAGCCGCGACAAGTGGGGGAGCGAACCTGGAGGGCGAACAGACCCTAGTCGACCTGACGGAGGGGGCGGACACGCAGCAAGCTGGGAGCGTGGACGAGCAGGAGAACTACAGCGAGCGGGAGCACGGCACAACAGACGAGGAGATCGAGGTGGCCATGGACCCGGACCCGCACAACCTGCCGGAGACGCCACAAGGTCTTGGGGGGGTCTGGACGGAGCCGGCCGAAAGACCAACATTGCCAGGGGGGCCGTGGCCGGTGAGGGCCCCAGGATACTGGAAAAGACCGTGGCCCAACTGCCTCCTTCGCCCATGGCGTCCATGGCATCGACCACGTCAACCCGGGGAGCCTTTTCGGTACCAGCAGTTCCTCAAGGAGGCCATCGAGTGGAGGCACCTGGAGGCCCTGCGGGCGAGTGAGACCGCCTCGGGGGTCCAACCAAGAGGTCGCGATGAAGGAGCGACTTCGTCCGCAAGTTCGGCTGATCAAGGAGGGCGCCAGCCAGGGGGACAGATGCAGAGCACGCAAATCGACACCCAGGACGAGGCACAGGAGGAGGATGAGGGGGCCACTGATGAGGATCAACACAAGGGGGTGGACAAGTGAGGGGCCCAAGTCCAGAAGAACCAGCACCTTTCGTCCAGACAACGGGATTACCAATGTGTAACAAACCCGTCTTTTCACCGAGACAGAGCAGCGGGCCAGCGTGGCCGGGGTTCCTCTCTCCTGGGGGGGGGCCTCTTCGCTGGGTAGAAGAAGAGTGAGCAACAGATCGTGAAGATGGCAGGGACACCAACGAGGCAATCCACCCTGGGGGAGAGGCAAGCGGAGAAGTGATGCCGAGGGCAGACAGAGAGGGGGCCGAAGGGGAAGGCAAGGAGAGGGCATCGACCACGCCGGGAAGCAGCACACAAGCCAGTGCCGTGGCAGCCACCGCCAGTGGGGCGGGCAGGCAGAGGGGGGTACCGCAGGAGGTGGGAGTCGCAGCAGGGGTGGGCGGCGAACAGACGCAGATCCAAACAAAGGCGACGCATGGGGTTTGGGGTCAGAACGCGGCGCTCCAGAAGTGGTGGGGCGCGGAGACGAAGATCCACAAGCCCACGACCTCACCTGATCGGGGGAGATGAGCACCGGCGTAGAAGGGCGCATGCGGGGCTCGAATGAAGGGCCGGGTCTTGACACTGGGGGACCTAGGCAACTGCAAGCGTGAGACCCGCATGCGCCTGAAGACCCAAGTAGCCAAGCCCAGCTAAGTTGAGGGAGGCCCAGAAGGGGGAAGGGGAGGACTTGTTAACAGGTTGTGGAAGGTTCGTTCGGGGGCTGGGGCAAGGTTCAGCCTGTGTGAGGTACCCCGAAGCACCCTCAACGTGGGCACACTGGTTTCACTAGCAGGACTGTGGGGGCTCGTAGGTCACCTAGTTCTGCGGGGGGCCTGGAGAGTAGCCTAGTACGAAGCCTGGGGGTAGGGAAACAGAGCCAAGCCCACATAACAACCTGCGCTTTTCACCTGGCCAGACGGGGGTCCTTTCCGGGGGTTAGGGTTGCTAGGGGTGTAGTGCAGTATAGGTGCTTCTGGGGGGGCCGAGAAACAGGAAAGGACAACCGAATAGGCGTGCTCGTCAGCGGAGAAGGCACCTAGAGGCATTTGTCCGGGAGCAGTCTTTCATACTCGTAGGGGGGGGAGGGGAAACTGTTTACTGGGGGCCTTCGCCCACACGAGCTAACCAGGAGGCGCCCTGAATACAGGGGCGGGCGCGAACGCCCGGGGGCTTGCCCCCTTGCCCCCAAGAAAGAAAGAAAGAGTGAGCAACGAGAGTGAGGAAGAGAGTGAGAAAGAGAGTGAGAGTGAGAGCGGGAATGAGAAAGAGAGTGAGAGTGAGAGTGACTGAGACCCCCGCCCCTGTGCAGGCAGGTGCGATGGGGGCGTGCGGAAGTTCGCCCCCCCATACCCGGAAGAAGAAGAAGGGTTACTAGAGAGTCGAACCAGATGCAATACGTAGCGGGTACAGGCGGGCCCCACGCTGACGTGCAGTGAACGGCTCTCCAAAGCCATAGAAGGTCAAGAAAGAAAAACAAAGCAGCTAGGCTTCTGCAAGAAGGAGAGAGGGTGGAATGAAAAGACGTCGGGGAAGCCTGGTCTTCTCAGGTGACTGTCAAGCATATTGGGATGATGGCGGGAGGAACTGGCCTCACCCCCATGCTGCAGGCAAGGCTGGCACTACTGTCAGTACTGTCTTGCTTTGTGATCTCGATTGGGTGCCCAGCTCCACAACATCCAACGTGTGATCCTTCAAGACATGTCATCCTCGCTCACCGCACCGTTTGACATGATGCTGGCCATGCGCAAAGCAAAGCTGCTGTTTGAACAGGTGGTGCAAGCAGCCCTGCGAGACCCAGGCGATACCTGCAACTTCTATTTGTGGCCCTGCCGCAGCCAGCTTGTGTCGCAAGCAGTTGTCAGCCCTAAACACTCCCTAAACTTCGACTCTTCCACACAGGATCTATGCCAACAAGACCGAAAATGACATCTTGTGCTGCCATCTGAGCTCTGCGGGGGGGCTGTAGAGCACAGAGGTTGTCATGCAGTGTCTCAGGCCGTGACATGCTAGACGACCTCGCCAGGAACAGCAAGGGCAGCTTGGACATTGCACATATCTGCACAAAGTCTCGTACCTGCTTTCCTTGCATTTTATGTTAAATCATACTCGAAGTTGTTGCATGTTGGGTCGCTGAGGTCGGTTTAAGCTCTACTACACCCTCGATTTTCCGCCAGCCAACTGGGCTCAGAAGACCGGCTTCATCACCACCGACATGCCTTGCCGGCTTGTTTTGGACTTGTTGACTTGTACTATATGACATACTACTATGACATGTTACTATGACTCTTTTGAGTGGCACCCTGAAATGTGGAGAGTGGGACGGCGCAGCTTCTGTGGCACCAAGATATTTGGATGCACACGACATCTCGCAGTCGAACAACAACACAGCATGTGACACCTCCAATTCAGGACAGGTGCTGAATGTTCTGCTTCTCATAGCAGTCTTTCGATGGACTTGCCGTCTTGGATAGACAGGACACCCTGTAGTCCATGCCCAGGGAGGGGGGGCGACAGGAGCCGTGTGTAGGACCTATCGGACCGTCGTTTCCGATCTCAATGGACACAAGAGCATCCCGTGAGTTTCGGCCTAGTTGAACTTTCAGTCTCTGTCGGAGCACCTAGACAGGCTATGAAACTCGACGAACCTCTGGCCTCCTTCGTGTGTCAGAAGAAGGAAAAAGGCTCAAGGCTTGAGGCCGATTCCTGCAGTAAATTCTTGACGTATCAGAGAGAGTTCGGCGGAATCGGCACCCTGCTTGTTACTTCGAGCTCAAAGACATCGAACGAATCTTGAATCCTGGCATAGCCTGGACTAGTGGGCAGCAGCCATTTCATGTGTAGACGCCGCCACATTCAGAGCCCCAATGCATGGCTGCACCTGTGGAGCGACCATCATTCGCAAAAGAGCATGAGCCCGCCAGGATAAAGGAGTGCCTGCCACCACCTTCGGCAGATACTCTGGTGCTCATGTGTGGCCCGCAGCAGCCCAAGTACTTAAGAGCAAGTTTGTGAACCCTTGGCGGACAAGACAATGAAGATGCACTCTCTTCCTTGAGAGCTTAATTTCTTAAAGTTGCAAGGCCTCCAATGATCGAGTACGCCTGCAAGAAGAACCTTGAGGCTCGCCGCTGCCTGCTCTGTAAGTGTAAGAAGAGTCTGGCTGTGCTCTGGGAACCTGGACTGGGACCCGCGTCGAGTCACGGAGCTCTTCTCGATTTTGGACCCTTAGTGGTAAGAGGGGGCCCCCAGCAAAGTAGTGGGGATGCTGTCAGCACACAGCATCTCAGTATCTTGCTACGGGCTTCGTAGTTTCACTCAGGCCAAGGCTCGCAAGCTTTCTGGCAGACCAGCTTGCGCGCAAAAGTAGGAGGCATGAGTCCGCACAGGCACTTGGCTACGAGAAGTCCAAGATGGTGAACTTCTGATATCCAGGTCGAAGGCGCCAAAAGCACAGTGTGCTGACTTCGTTGAAAAGTGGCGCAACCATTGGGAGCCAGGCCAGGGCCTTTGGGTCATAAGGACCCGGGCCAATCGGCTGCAGGGTGTCCTGCGAGGGGCGTCAATTAGAGACTGGCCTCTGTCATGGCTGTCGCCATGTCCTTTCATCTGGGGCGGAGTTGGACAAAGTTTTTCGGGCCCTAATCCCTACACAAGCTAAGTTGTCCACAGAAATGTACAAGCCCACCAAGTCCGCCCCAGTCACAGCTTTTAGGCACGAGAATGACGGCTTTGGCCAAGGGGCCAAGGACCTGCAGAAACTTTCAGTTGACTGTGTGCCAGAATCTCTGCAAGACTTTTCCATTGAGATCATTGAGTCTTTTCGCATGTTGAGAGTAGCATGACTTGCTGCAGCATGAAGTCATGCCTGGTGTGTCGGCCATAGCCGCAGAATGCCAGAAGCCTTCCCACACGGGAAGCAGCTGCACATGCCACAGACAACCCTACTTGCAGATGTGCAGACGCACGACTCGGCCTATGGAGCAATCCGAACGACTTGATCAGAACACATTGGCCTCACTCCTATAAGAACACAGCACCCTGAGATGCATACCCAACAGACACGAAGTTTTTCCCAAAGCAATCCGCCAGAGCTAAGCAGTGGAGCTTGACGGCCTACGTCAACAGGACGGGCAGACTGCACACGTGCAGGTTGCGCATCAACGATGAAGGTTCAGCACGTCACTCCTTACAGCTGTGCGTTGCCAGACTTCTCTAATTCGTAACATCACCATCGTCAGGAGTCCGGTCAAGCTCCCCGCACGCATGCCATGAGCAGATATCTAGAGCCGCTTGGATGCATTGGATGCACGATGCTGCCTGTGCGTGACCATGCTGCACTCCGCTTTGTTTATCCTGCTTTCCCCTTGCTTTTTCACAGGTACAGCAATCCCAATCTGAAGCTGGACGCTGAGACCCCTGACAAGCCTGAAAGGGTTGTGACGTATACCGTATACCGCATTCCATGCACTGTATACCTTTTGTGGCTTGCCGTGTACCAGTGCCGCAGCAAGCAGCTGCAGCTTCAATGGTCTGCATCTTTAGCTGCCTCTTCAACTCCTGCTTGAGGGTTTTGTGTGTCGAAAATGAAGTTCTTCAGTACATCGGGTAGGCCAGGTCACCTACATCGGCACAAGACCACTGGTTGCCACCGTTTATCAGTGAATCAGTTGTTCATTGAAGCCTCCTTGCTGGTAAGCTCTAGTGATAGCCACGCATTGTGACTTGCGGTTGAAAAGCTTTGGTTTATGTTGGGCAAGCGAATGCCACGAGCCGATGCATGCCATGCGCCGCAGCGTAGCGATCGCTGCCGTGGTAGTTGCCACCAGGACGCCGAAGTCGTCATAGCTCCTTAGGTGCTGCGTAAGTAAAGGGCTGCCGGGCTTGTGTGGTTTCAATTTTCCGTGTGACACCGGTGGGATTTGGAGGCAGCTTCTGCTAGCAAATCCCCGCATATAACGATTTGACGAGGCAGGGATGCCACCTACTTTCGCGTCCTTTTTGCGAAGTCGTCGTGGTCCGCCACGGGGAGACCGTAGCATGGCAAAGAGTACATTGGACCACCTCTTTTCAACTTTTCAACTTCTTGGCAGGTAGCAGCCCTGTGTCAGTCTCAGATGTTCTGAAGCAGCCGAGGACTGGAATCAGCAGCTGCGTGTACAGGGTACAACGGATGTTGATCTAAATGAGCGTGGACGCCTGCAAGCAGCATTGCTCTTCGGATACAAAGTTCGAGACATTTGGCATGATTTGCCTGGATGTGTGATGTGGGCTTTCAGGAGCATTGCCGGGAACAATTAATTGTGCACTAGCCATAATCCACAGTGTTAGTCCAACCTTAGTGTAAGTTCCGTCGGCAATGACCAAAACGAGAATGGTGCAAGAGACTATCGGCTGTTTGTTGCGGCGATGCCCCCTAAAACTCCACATCCTAAAGCCAAAAAACTCTACAACCACCTAAGCTTATTATCCCTCAGGTGCGCACAGGCTCTGACGACTCTTGGTGGCGGTGGTTTCTGAAGCTGAGCCCATGACCGGTTGCTTAGCAACCACGTAGCCGCAGGATCTTTGGTTTTGTGTTCGGAGTTTGTATGCTTTCGGGAATATATCTCGAGGTGGAGTTTGGGGAGGTTCGGTTGTTCAAAGTGTTAGCCATGCTTTGTACTCGTGACGTGGCTGTGGCCGTACCAGTGTACGTCCTACTCCCCCCCTCATAGCGGGTGTGAACTTCGTGCACCTGAGCAGTGCTCCATTCAGGGGCCTGGTGACTCAGTGTGCTGGAGCTCGTGTGCCTGCGCTGAGACACCCTTCAGGAAGCAGCTGGCATCACGCGAGCTCCCGCGTGCCATCTACTCCAGTAGCTTGGCTTGGTCCAAGTTTTGGTTAACAAGCTCGCTTCGCGAGCCTTGTCTACCGTCATTGTTCTTTTATTGAGCATTATGGATAGAGGGCGCAAGGTCAACAAATGCCCCCAAGAAGCCATGACGTAGCCGACAAAGCAGGTGATTTGAAGCGTGCCTCTGTCACGGCTTCTGCTATCGCCGAAGCCCTCTGCAAGTCCATGGAGGTGAGAAAGGCCCGATGGAGCCTGCAATGTTGTACTGTGATGTTTCAGACTTTTCGTAGAGTGGTATTCGCACCACGGCAAATTGCCAGGCTAAATTAAGTGGATGTTGGGATACCTGGGATGCTGACTGCATCTAAACAATCTAAACCTTGACACATTCCGTACCGCAGCCTCCGTACCCAGCTCCGACTTCCAGATGTTCGTCCTGTAGCTCGATTTTTTGGACGAAATGTGTAAGCAACCTTCCTGGTTCTACAGAAGAAGCTGCATGTGCATTCCAGCACTCCAGTTCGTTTTCAGTGCTGCAAGTTCTGTTGTGCCAGGCCTAGAGAGCCTTTTGAAGTTTAAGAAGGCTTAAAAGCTCTGCTCGCAGGACACGCGCCTCAACGAGTGGAACCTTGGTTCGATCGAGGGCATGAGATCCTTGGCCCCGAAAGTGGCGTCAGTGGCATCAGACAGGACGCGAGTGGATATTTGAAAGGTATCAACGCCCAGGCACTCTGGCATGTTCTGAAGGGGTCGAAGGGTCAACAATTTGAGCCCCAAAGCTTTTAGTGACTTTAGCCGTCTCATGTTTCAGGAAAAGATGACGCTGCCGCACAGCATGCAGATGATTGGGCGGTTTTCAGTGCTTCGGCAGAGTTTGAATGGTCGAGTGCCCGCAAGAACTTGGCTTCAAGAAGCTCTAACCTCGTGCTTCATGCTCGGATCTTTACTTGAGAGGCCAGTGGTGCTCTACCAACGCCGCCTCGATGCATCTTCAAGTTCGGAACGGTTCCTTAGGCATCTTATCGGATTCTCGGACGGCTGCCAGCCGAAACTCCACAAGCCTCTGGCCTCTTCTCGCTAGAATGGTTGTATGTCTGCCATGCCCTGTTCCAGGGTGGCATGTTCGGCCCTGCACCGCTAAGATGACACACTGCGATCCAGGTAGCAGAGGAGGTCACCCGGCACACCATCTCCGGAGGCGGCGAGCCCTGGGCTTCGATGAGAGACCCAAAGTCCACTTTGGGTCCATTTTGTCGAAGTGTTTTCAAGAGCTCTCTCACTGGCTGTCCCATCCCTATGTCTATCTACCAGCTATTGAAAAAAAGGTGGCATTGCTCCCTCTGAGCCTAGCGAGGAAAGCATGGAACAAGTACGCCAGCGAGCGGCACTTTGCATTGAGGAGGCGGCGGGCTTGTCAGTCACACTGTCGTTTGTCCGGTGTTTTCCAGCAGATCAGATGATTGCAGTCCATGCGCCGTGTGTGATTGAGCAGCCAGGCGTGTTGCGAAACTACTGCCGGTCTGGTGATCGCAGTGACTCAGTCAGAAAAGCTGTGTGCTTACCGACAGTCGTTGGTGCAGTTTCAAGTACACTGTAGTCACAGGCTTAGGGCAAGGTCATGAATATGTCATCCAGTAGTGCCCTACGATGGTGGCCGTTCTGCTAGCGCCATCCACACCCCAAGTGTTGAACTGATAATGGGCAAGTAACCGGAGTTGCAGCTTGGGAGCAGGCTCCGAACAGGATCCCTACCGGAACTCGTGTCAAGTTGGACGGCCTACACGAGATTTGAAAGATTGACCGGCTGCTATGCTTTCTTGTCGAACCCGCTCCATTGAGCTCGTAGCTGCCCAGGAAACCAAAGCAACCTCAGCAAAGAATCAGGGTGAAAAAACTCTTGTGCCACCTCTGTCGCCGCTAAGAGGCCTCCAAACAACAGGTCATGAGCACTGCCAGCACTTAAAGCTCACAAATACCTTCTTAAACGAAAGGGGAATGCGAAGGCACAATTTCACGATGGTCAGCAACGTTGAACATAGGTTACCGACAATTGAGGTGGCTTCAGGGATTTTTAGGCGCTGCCAATTGAGGTTGTTGAAGCATCTCGTGTTTTTTCGTAGCAATCCTCTCCCTGTCTCTCTGTGAACAACTTGCGTTGTGCAGCCAAGTGCTCGCACTCCAAATCGCCCTGGTGTTTTTCAGGTGACTCATGGCGGCGTCCTGGGCCAACTGCTGCGTCATGCAGAACCGAATTCTGTGGAGCCACGCCCCACACCTACAAATGCCTGTGCGAAGCTTAGTTGTGGCAAGCCTGGTATTGTAACGTGTTGACGTGTAGTAAGGCTGAAATTCACCTCAGGCTGTTAGGGCGGTGTGGTGTGTTGGCACTGAGAGCCGATAAAGTCGTGGGTTTGCTGGTGCGGAGGGGGGGGAAGCAAAAACGTTGTGGGGCGGAGCGAAAGAGCTTCGCTTGCGGGTTTGGTCGGAGAGTGGGGATGCCCAATCAGACTCCACAGGAGTGCTGTGAACCAGTCGGGACACGCGTCATCGTATCCACGCAAGCATGTACCATCATGTACCAGGCATCAGCCGCTTCCGTGTTCAGCCAGGAGGTCAGTGGGAGGCCATTGCCCCAGTGTCGGTCCGCGCAGCAGAGTTCCTCGTGACACCCAAACTAGTTGTGTTAGCGTTGTAGCATAGTCTGCTGCATAGTCCCGCAGGTGCTGGAAGTTGAAGTTGAAAACCGAAGCAGCTGAATATTGAAGATGTGTTCTTCAACCGAGGGCTGCAACGTAAACATAGTACCACATTGCTCGTTTCCAGAAGTGCCCTCAACAGGACTCAAAACTTGAAATTTGTTTTGACAGGTGCTGAGCTGGGCGACCTCAGATCACCTAAGTGGAGATGCATCGCCGGTGGCGGCTACTCAGATGAACCACAAGCTAGCAGGGCGACCCCCATCCCCCGTCATGTCCGTCTTCATGGATCGACACCCTGGCTTTCGTTGGCAGGCCTTTTCTTCGGAGTAATATGCAAGGCGACATGCAAAGGTCACACGAGCGGGGCCGAATGTCTCCGGGTGTGTGTGTGTGTGTGTGTGTGTGTGTGTCTTTGTGGCTCAGCTCCAACTTCATGATGTACGATTGTCACAGCAAAGGCGGACTACGGTGTGAGCAAATGAATGGATGCACTGCTTCACAGACCATAGATCTGTCTGGCAGAGTAGTTTCACCTCGAAAAGACCCAATGGTGGTCATGACGCGATTGATTGATTCAAAACATGGCTGAGACTGCTCAGGCCTGCTTCCATGAATCGGCCGAGAACTAGGTAAAGTCATGGCCACGTCAGCTGCGTCTTGTCGCACTTCTCCAATTCGCAGTCACTGTGACTACATGGGGCGCTTGCCAAGGTACTGTGACCTCGTTCGAATAAAGGAGCCGCCGCCCAGGCCAGGTCATTGCTTCAGTCGATAGACCCCATACCTGACACATGTCTGTACTGTTGCCGGCAAACAGAGATACAGGTACCTTCAAAAACATCGAGTCTCACTGCCCGATGCTTGCGATAGCGACCCAGTTGCCCCGAGCTCCACACCCATACACTCACCCATATTCACCCACATTGCATAGACTGTCCTGGACGGCTCGCACCTTTAACACTTAGCTGGAGGATGGGGGTAGCAACCAGTCTCAAAAGAAGGCAATCGGATTGCTGGATGAGCTCGAACCCAAAGCTTTGAAGACGGGCCCTGCAGTTGCAACTGTGCGAACAATCTCAAAGACGTTGAAGTCACGAAGCAAGCGAGCATTGCCTGCGAACCACAAGCTACTTTTGACGTCGACATGCAAGGCTGGGCCTTACATTCGTTTTCGGTCCAGAAAAGAGTCGGGCGCTTTTTCTGATGCTGAACACATAGAACAGTACAGCATCTTCCCATATCATGCAATGGGTTCCGTGCACTGCAGTGACTGCAGTGAATGTAGCGATTTCGACAGCACTTGGCATTGCCGAGGCTTTAGCGAATACCTCACCACCAGGTACCGAGGTTCGAGCACCGTGCTGCTGACTCATTGCAGCTTCTACTTCACTCACAAGAATCGCAAGGTGATTTCTGACCTTCTAGCGTCTTCAGCTTGTGCTTGCACTAGCTGCAACGTGTCAGACTCTGCCAGATCCTATGTGGAGGGCGCTTCGCTTTGGGACAGCTGTGGCCACCTTATTGTAGGCAGAAGGCTGCAGGTACTCCGCATTGTTGATACCACTTCACGGCATCATGTGCAAGAGCTAGTGGCACCCGCAAACCATGCGCAGAGGTAGACTTCAAGCTCGTACTTAGCATGCTCCAGAAGGGTCGAACTTGCCGAATCAAGCTGCGTTCTGGATGTTTGTTGCTTCTTGCAAGCCGTCAAGTTGCCGTAAAGTGCGGATGTCCATGAGCCTGTTCTACAAGAATTTCTGACGGACCAATCAGGACCCATCTGTACCTAAGAAGGACAGTCGATGTTGCAGTCGATGTTGCGACAAGGTGGCCAAACTCCGTGTCAACCTTCGTCCTCTCCTTATGCCTGTCCGGAGATGTTCACTGGCTCTTTGAGTCATGTTTCCTGAGGCCCTGACCTTCTTGCCGGGGTACTGGCGCTGCCCCAAAGCCTCGTGAGGCTGCACGAAGATCCTTGCCTGAGCAATGTGCTCAGGTATTTGCGGGACCAGCTGCCATTGGTGATCGATGGCGACAGCCTGAATTCAGAGGGGCGACACGTTAGGTGCTGCCGGTCTGCTGAATTCAGCATCAGCCTTCTGATCTTCGAAAGAATGTCCTGAGGCCCAATCTGGCTAGATCCGCTTGGCTTGGTGCAACTGGTGCTTGGGACCGCAGCTCGAAGTGTTCTGACACTTTGACAGCCCTTTAGTTACTTTACTTGGTTTCACTTGTTATCAGTTCCTGTTCAGGGCCAGCCAAGAAGGACTCAGTGAATCCTAAACCTCCAGGAAGCCTGCGGGCCTAACAGGGATCCGAATCGCAAGGCCCGCAGTGTGTTCAGAGTCGTGGCCGAAGAGTGCTCAGGTTCTGGGAATTACCATTTTGGTTTGTTTCCTCCTTGCGCCGCCACCTCAATCTTCCGAGACAGCTCGCAAAAAACATGTGGGATTATTGCATTTCACATTTCATCTCATCTCATTTCATCCTGCTGAGCATTTACTGCCTCCTTAAGGTCGACGATTAATCCTGGCATCATCCCCAGGAACGAGAGCATGCCCCAGGCTCGGGGCCCCAGGCTCGTGAGGATGGGGCGTTTTGCCTTCCCCCTTTTTGTGCCCTCCTCCCTCCCCCTCCCTCCCCCTCCCTCCCCCTCCCCGCCCTCCCCCTCCCCCTCCCCCTCCCTCCCCCTCTCTCCCCCTCCCTCCCTCCCTCCCCTCCCTCCCCTCCCTCCCCTCCCTCCCCTCCCCTCCCCTCCCTCCCTCCCCCCTCCCTCCCCCCTTCAGCGAGGCCCCCCCCCCCCTCAATATTCAAAATATTCTGCGTATTTAAATATTCACGTTTTGCGCCCAGGTCAATATTGAATATTCAGGGCTCCTTTAAATATTCAACGGAGCTCCTGAATATTCAATATTCCCCTGGCTGGCCCAGATCAATATTGAATATTCAGGGTTCCTTTGAATATTCAAAGCGAGCCTGAATATTCAATATTCCCCATGGCCCGGCCTCCTAACACCCTCAATAATTTGAATATTTCGAATATTTAGAATATTGAAGGGGATCCCCCCTTAAGCTTGGAGGCTGGCCCAGGTCAATATTGAATATATGAAGGCTCCTTTGAATATTCAACGGAGCTGCTGAATATTCAATATTTTCCTGGCAAAAATCCTTACTAACCCTCCCCCTCCCTCCCCCTCCCTCCCCCTCCCTCTCCCTCCCCCTCCCCCTCCCCCTCCTCCCCTCCCTCCCCCTCCCCTCCCTCCCCCTCCCTCCTCCTCCCCAAAAAACCTTAGAGCAACCATCCTCCTTTGCGGGGTTCCTTTCTACTCAGGAGCTGGAGCAGCACCTGGACTTGCGAGGAGTGCCCTGCCATCGCTTTCTGCTGCTCAGCTTCACATCGATGCTTGCATCTGATGGGAACAACTTCGCAGCCGATTCCATGGTCAGCTTAGGAAGATCAGCAACATCACGCTGAAGCAGAAGTGCCCCATGAAAGAAGTTCTCAATCTCACCTGGTGCATCCTCACCTCCGCAGGTACTGCACAACCTGCAACATCTTCAGACCCCCACGCTCCAAGCACTGCTCCTTTTGCACCTCTGCCTTGCTTGAGCTTAGATTCTTGGCGCATGCTCTTTACATCTTTTTACGGTTCTGGTCAACTTGCTGCTGTAGAATCTTCGAGCAGGTGACAACTGCGTACTACGCTTTGATCACCACTGCACTTGGCTTGGGAACTGCGCCTGAAGCCCAGTTCGCGAGTGCAGGCAGCATTGGCAGAAACGCGTGCTCAAAGACTGACCCAAATTTGCTGAGACTGCCCATGCCATTCTTGGAATGCATGTGGGTCTGTAGTTGCTTGCAGGTGGCACTCTACAACTACCGTTACTTCGTGGTCTTGATCTACTCATCCACAATCTTCTTGATGCTGCGGGCAGCCTCAGACGGCTTGTGCCGCAATGTGAAGCTCCCATCATCCTAGCAGCTCACCGGTCTTCTTCATCTGGCACTTGTGTGAGAATGCTGGGGGAGATGGTACATTGAAGGTGCATCTACGTGAACTCTGTTGTCTATGGTATGCAGGCTGACACATGTCTTGCCGGGGCTTGTATGGTTGTTGTGTTGCAGCATGTCGCAGCTGGGCCACCACAAGCCCAGTAAATTCGAGTCGCTGCAGGCGCATCAGGAGTTTGGCCCTGACTATGGCGTGCTGGATGTGCTGTACGTCCTTACTGAGGCAGCACGTGTATGAGAAATTGCGTCTGGCTAGCATCGCTTCCTGCAGGACGCCTGGTTGTTGTTGTTCTTCGTGTACTGTCTCTTCTTGATGCTAGCTGTCTTGGCCTGAGTATTCAGTCAATCTCAGGGCATGGATGGTTTTCATGTGCTTATCTCGGACAGGTCCTGCTGCTCTCGGTTTACCACACGGTCATCTCCATTCAGAACTTGACAACAAACGAGCACGTGGGCGGGTTGCAAGATGACACAAGCCATGTCGCCAGAGTTCTTATGCCGTCTTGTGACGCGCCTATCCTTGCGGTATTCAAAATAAGCAATAACATTGTCGAAACAAAGGCAAGCCATGTGGTGCAGAGCTTGCGTTGAGAAGGCATTTCCTGTTTCATTTGACGTTCAGGTCAAAAACTACTATAGGGATGGACACAATCCATTCGACTATGGCCCGTGTGGAGCTTGGATCAATCGTTTTGGTAGTCTTTGATGTTAGTCGCACATGAATCAACTCAGGTACAAGAACTGTCGGCAGATATACTGCTATCCAGAGTGCCTTGGCTGCACTGGGTTGCAGCAAGGAGGCCCACGGACTGGAGCTAGATTCGATCGTTTTGCCGTTTAAATGTGGTACTGAGATGTTCCACATGTTTTCACAGCAGGCTGGTATTGCCAGAGGGCGAGGACAAGATCGAGGCACCATATTCACGCACCGAGTCACAGAGGAGAGGAAATGCATGAGAACTAGAGTCAACGGAGCAGGCTGACTATGTGCCCTTTGGGTCCTACTCGGACGGCCAGTCCTTCGACGAACTCTGAGAGTCCACAACCGTCCTCCAACGCTTCCTCTCTCTGTTACCCCGCACATTCTCGACATGTAGTCGCATCAGTATATGGTATACAATATATCAAGCATGAAAGTCTGGACTGCTGAGATCTTGCAATCGTCCGTATTCCTTCACATAGGAACAAGGTAACCCAGCTAGGCTTGACTGAACGGAGCAGTGCCTGTTCCGTGGTCCGCCAGAGCTTGCGTTGTTGGGCCATGGATTTTACTCGCTTCGAAGATTCCGACTGGACGCGCCTCAGGTGGAAGGATACGCACTTCGGTCCAAGCGTCTCTAGAGGAATCCTCGATCCCTGTGGTGCAAATTGCACCGCCTCGAGAAAACTCTGGCCGTCTGAGCCTGCCAAAATGGGGTCCTTGCGTCCTTGCGGATTGTCCACGGACGTGTTGGTCTGGTTGGCGTGAGGGACTCGGATGCCAGCCCCTTCGATAGTTTAACAGGCAACTACTACAACCGTGCAATCCCTTCCGCGGGATCCCCCATGAAATCCACCATCCTTGGGTTGTATGTTGATGGGTCATAACGGATCATGTAGTCAATGTAGTCGAGAGCTTGCTGAGTGTGATTAATCTTGTGCATAGTACAGTGATGCCAAGCACTTCTAACCTTTCGCTCGCTCCTTCCTCGCAGCCGACGTTTTTGTCTAGATGTCAGTTTTTGGTCGTTGAGTGGAGCAGACGAACTCCCATGGAATTGTCAGAGGCTTTCGTGGCCCCGGCCGCCGCGCGCGCAGCGGCCACGCACCACGCTACGCACCATGCTCCTCGTGTAGCCACGGGCACAGCTGTGCCCAGACATGGGGCAACCCTCAGTGCAGCTGCAGCAGTGGCCGCGGTCGGTGTTCTGTCCAACCAGATGCGGCGTCATCGCCCGAAGCTGTTGAAGCGGCGGCTGGCAAAGGTCACAAAGGCGGCCGTGCCGCCCGAAAGCATCGACCTTCTACACCCGCACGTGTGGAGCGGCTTGGAAGAGCAAAGCACTCAACTACTACAGCACTTCGCACATCTCACAGAGGGTTTTCAACAGGCAGGAGATCACGCAGGCACACCAAAAGAGGAGGCGCTTTCAACAGCCGTGCAGCAGCTTACCGAGATCTTCTCCGAAGCTGCAGGTCGACTGGCCCACGAGATCGTGCCCCCAGCTTATGCAGCTGATGCAAAGCCCATTGAGCTGGATCCGAATGTCACGTATCTATATGGAGCAGATGGCAACGTTCTAGTAGATCCAATGAACAACAAGCCTCTCCCTGACGATTGGTGGAACGGCTTCATCGGCTTCCAATCCGACATCATCAAGCAGGTTGACCAGACCTTGCGGGACAACGGCCGAACACTCAGAACATTCTTTAAACTGCGCATACTCCTCCGCCATAAGCTCAGGCGTGGAGCAAGCCTTCGGGTGGACCATCGTGGCGTACACCGCCTTCATCAAGCTCGCCTTCTTCCCCCTGCAGCAGGATCCTGCTCTGGGATGGCGTCGCGGGGTTCTTTTTTGTTGTGCTCACGGGACTGCGTGTTCTACTGTCAGGGCCAGCTCAAGAGCACGTCGATGATGCAGCTCCTGAGCCCAAAGGTGAAGGAGATCCAGGAGAAGTACAAGGCCTGGTTTGTGTGTTTGGACTTCTGGCTGAGTTGACTCTTCCATGGGTTTAGGACGACCCGGACACACAGCAGCGGCTGCTGGGCCAGCTGTATGGCGTCATGGACGTGAACCCGCCAGGGCCCCCAATGGAAGTGCTGGGAAGAAGTCGTCCAACTCATTTCCTCATTTCATGAGAGTCCCCCAACATCTCCCATGTCACCGGACTGCAGCTGCAATTCTTCCTGAGTTAACCCTGAGTCCGTGCTCTGTTCATGCTCCGTCCATGCTTTGTGAGGTTGGGCGGGTGTCTTCCAGTGTTTCTGCAGCTGCCCATCTTCTGGTGTCTGGCGCGTGTTTGACAGTTGTGATTCCAGGTTGTTTAATTCTGGGGAAAAAGTCAGTGGATCTTCAGCCTTGGCACAGGGGGGAAAGGCAGCAAGTGGCTTGGAAAGTCGCACAAGTTGTTTGGTTCATAAAGCTTGCCCAGCAGTGCGGACCTCATCGGACAGTACATCACAGTACTCCAAGCGCACCACCAGGACGCACACCCGGACTACACAACAAAAGAGCCAGCCAACAATTGGCTCGCCTTGTCTGGCTTGGTCAATCTCTGAGTACAGAAGCTTCTTCTTGTGTCTGTATGCCAGGAGTCTTTATGGCGTGTGGCGCCGCCTCGCCGCTGAAAAATTCCCGCGCCTCGGGTGCTGAGCGAACGCGGTCCAGGGACGTCCAGGGACGCCCAGAAACGTCCAGCAACGTCCAGAAACGTCCAGGGACGTTCACAGGTTCAGCATCAGTCCAAGCTCGAGCTCAGTCTTCAATTCAAAGACTCCCCCTGTGGTAAGGCACTACACTGAGGGATGGCTTTGGGTGCCGTCTCTCGCGCAGCCCAACCCAGATTTTCAGTTCAAGCCGGCGTCTGAGGCTCCAAGTTTAGCTGAGCTTGGCTGAGTTGTTGACAGTCACAAACCCAGATGGCCTGAGGTATGATTGGCTGCTGCAGTTCGAGGATGGAAAGCCTGCTATGGGATGGGAGAACTACCTCTCATACTTGGTGACCCCTTCTGCTTTCGCTCTCTGCTTCGCTTGTGAATCTACATGCGCTTGCTGTGGTCTGTGGTCGATGTCTTTGAAAGGGGCAGGCAGAGACATTTCTCTTTGGGGCGGGGGTCTTCTGTGTGTTGTCTGTTGTCTCTCGCCGGCTTTGCCGATGCTTTTGGAGAGGTATTCCCGGTCCTGCTCGTGGGCTTCACGGTCTTTCAGCAGCAGCAGGCGCGTGTATTTTTTGTAACCCATTCCACCCTCTCGAGGTGTCAGAGTTGTTTTTGTGAGAAGTAGGGGACAAGTAGAGGACATGAATGCAAAAGGACAAGCCGGGCTTGGAATTGGAGGGCGATCTGCAAAAGGGGTCCCGGCATGTCTGAGCCCTCCTGTAGGCACAGTCCAGTCGCCCAAAGACGGGCAACGAAGATGATCCTTCCAACCTGGTGATGCAGGCCCACTGCTGTTGCGCACGCTGGTGCATATGACTTGACGAAGCTCCTCCATCATCAGGTGCTGCCGTGGATCTCGGTCTATTTCATCGGCAGCTTGTCGCTCCAACTTCCACAGGCAGCTGGCCAGCTTCCACGATGGTCATAGAAGCTGTATTCAGAACGGATGCTTGATGTTCTGTAGCGATGCAACAGTGGATAGCCATGCTCGAAGTTCGTGGTGTACTGGGGACAAGACCCACCCCAATCCCACCTCGTACGGGCGCGTGCTGCGCGGCGTGTATCAGGCTGTGTCTGTGTACTACTCCATGAACACTGCGCTGTCAGTGCTGCAGACCTCCGCCGTGATGACCACAGAAAGTGCGCGAGAGTCTTGTTGAAGCATTCGTTATCGGGACTCAATACGGTCAAATTTGCTTCAGCGGATTCTCAGGTGAAATTCGGACTGCGGCAGGAGATCCCCGGCTATGAGGAATTCGAAAGGAGCCTGGACATCTGGAATCTTCTCACCCTTTCGCGCCTGTATTCTGTTTTGATCACCCCCCGTGGCAGGACGGGCAAGTTCCCAGAAGGCGCTTTCGAGGACATGGTGAGGTTCCGTGGCGCGTGCTGCTCGTTCTTGGCTGTTGCCTGTCCTGTTGTCACGCAAGATGCTGCGCCAACCTGGCTGCTCCTGTCCGAACATTCTTGCAGCAGCCGTGATTGATGATGAGTCGCAGTGGGGGGCAGGTCCAACACACCCGCGCCCAAGACCCTCCACGAGGCGACTTGCAGTCGCAGTGAAAGCGCTACAGTGCGCTACATCTTCCAAGTCGTAGCTCGAAAGCTTCTGTGGGCGAGGTGCGGATACTCATACTGATTTCCTTTGAAGAACATTGAGCTTGGATATAGAAAGATGCAGATTGTTTATCCCCCGAAGACGTTTAACGGTGAGGCCTGATGTCGATTGCAATTTATGGGTGCACGTCGGTTCTAGGTACCTTCCGGGATCTTCCGGGCGTCAGTTGCGAGTCTTTGTCACAGGATGCATGGGGTTTGAGTCACGCCATGGGACTGCAGGCTGCTCTGAGAGGAGAGGTGGGCGACCCAGATCGTGAACTCGATCCTGGCTCCATCTTGGAGCCAGGCAGAGACGGGTCATCCAGCAGCGAGAATCAAGCTTTTCAGGGGGGAACGAGTATTGTTACTATTTGCTACTGACGCCTGTAATTACTGAGGTCAAGTACATAGAAGAGATGCTGGCGGATGAGAGACTTGGTGGTTCATTGATTTGTTTCTCTACTCGGATTTTCGTTTCGTGATGTGCGTCCCATCTTTTTCATGTGGCTTCTGCAGAGCGTCCCGCTTGCAAATGCCTTCAAGGAGCGTGGACATCAACAAGTGGGACGAGAAGAACATTGCGCAGATTGCCTACACATGAACGTTGGCAAAGGCACTGATCCTCGTCTGCCGCTGTGCTCTGCACACATGGCGAGGCCACTTGGTTACGCTGTTGCTTGCCGGAGCCTCAACAGAGAGAGAGAGAGAGAGAGAGAGGCGTTCTGCAATCCGGAAAGGGACTATGAACACCGTAGCAAGCCCCTCGTTCCAACTGACCTTCGGACTCGCGCGCCCCTGGGGGCGGCTCTCCTCTTCGGGGGGGAGGGCATGCGTGCAGGAGAGAGAGAGAGAGAGAGAGTGGTGGTCCCATGTGGTTGTGGGAAACAAGTGCGACTCCCGTGTTTCTTTCGTCTCACGCCGACGTGACCCGTGACTTGAAGGGCGCGCCCAGCGCGCGGAGGTTCAGGGACTTCTGCCCTGTCCTCCATGCCCGGTAGAAGAAGAAGAAGAAGAAGAAGAAGAAGAAGAAGAAGAAGAAGAAGAAGAAGAAGAAGAAGAAGAAGAAGAAGAAGAAGAAGAAGAAGAAGAAGAAGAAGAAGAAGAAGAAGAAGAATAGAGAGAGAGGGAGTGAGAGAGGGAGCCAGCGCGGCCGGGGCCACCCTCCTGAGGGGGCCTCTTCGCTGTGCAGAAGAAGAAGAGAGGGAGAGAAAGGGGGTAGGACGGAGTTGAGGGCACTGCCCTGTGGCCTGCCGTGGCACTCAGTTGTTCCACTAAAGACTGCGAACTCAGTGCGCGCACGTGCGCAGGGGGAGAGCCAGCAACCCGATCCCTAAGCTTGGCAGAAAAATGAGAAGAACAAGAAAAAGACTTCTTCTTGTTCTTCTTCTGCTGGACTTGAACCCAGGGGCCCCCCAGGCGTCTCAGTCCGTGTGAACCTCTGAGCTGCAAAAACCCTCTCCGCTTCCCGGAGTCCATGTTGTCTCCGTTGGCCCCATTGACCCCTAGAAAAGGCCAGGGCGTACTTGGGCAGGACCTCTGCGTTCGAAATTGCCCTCCGACGTATTCCGGCTAGCCACAGCTCGTCGACACCATCGGCTGTCCTTCTCTCTTTCTATCTCCCCCCCGTGCCGAGGCACCCCCTGCTGTCTCCTTCTCTGTCTCTCTTGCTCGGTTGGGGCCGGTTGGGGATAAGTTCACAGCCTGAGAGCCACGAATGAATTATACGTGAGAAGACTAGAAGTAGCACAAGTCCAACAATTTTCCAATACTTCCGAGACTCAGAATTCACAACGTGGCAACAGGGGACTTGTGCATGACGTGGTTGGCTTGCGGATGTGCGGCTGCCTCAGGTGGCCACCTCGATGCCGTGAAGGTACTTTTGAAGAGAGGCATGGTGCCGGTCGATGCGCTCATATGCGCTCTCTGGGCTCCCAAGAGAAGTGATCAGGTGCAGACGTGACCCTGAAAGATGGCCAGGACTGGAATGCTGGAATGAGGGGTCGCTGCTGCTACGTCTTTTTGAGATATTCGCTAGTCGCTACTCGGTTACTAGCCAGTGCGGTGCAGATCGTGGCTCGAACTGCTCCAACTTCCGGCCTCGGAGCCGCGTCAGGACAACACGATGCTTCACTATGCTGCAGGTTACGGACACATGGCCGTCCTCCAGGATTGGGATCTTGAACCCAAAATGCACGTGCAATGGGAATGGGATCATCTTGGCTTCGGGGAGTACCAGGATGCTTCACGAGTCACTTACGATTTTTGTCGTCTGACTTGCAGGAGCTCCTAGATGCGTCTGACAAGGTTTGGAAGGACAACGACTGGTGCACACTGAGGAACAGCCGGGCACTCAACATAGTCGAGAAGTGAGGGTGCATCTCCCTGTAGGGCCGGCCAAAATGTGATTCACGAAATAGAGAAAGATAACGACTGCGAGCTTGGCAGTTCCTGGGTTTGCGCTTTATGCTTCCTGATTAGAGCTCCCGTAGTGTTCCGAGTCTGCTCATCGACTCTCTGTCTTTAGTTTGATCTCGCGCCGCCCTCAGCGTCAACAAAAAAGCCCGGGTTCTGCAAATGGGCTAATGATGCTGCTCGTGCTAGCAGTGGTTCATCCGAGTGCGGCCAGCACGCTGCTTGTACATCTTGCCACTTCAGGGAATGGGCATGGCGTGGGGTGCGGCAGGTACGAGCATATGTGGCAAGCAATCCACTGCCGTGCCTGTTGCAAATCGCCGTGGCTCTGTGCGCGGGCTTTGGGGCAGACCCTATCGTACGCCTGCAGAAACTTAATGATGTTTGTTGTTCCCTCCAGCACGCTTTCACGCACGCTTCGCACCTGTCGTTTACATCAATATTTACAGTGTTTCGTGCGGGTGCCACGCCGAAAACACCGGTGGGCGCAGTGTTTTCGGCGCCTGCTGTTTCACGCGTTTGTTGCATGAGTTTTGCATCGGCATTTTCTGTGTTTCGTGTGGTCACATGCAAACAGCACCGTAAAACGCAGTGTTTTCGGCCGGCTGCAAGTGTTTGGTGTGGGTCACATGCGAAAACACTTCTGGACACAGTCCAAACGTTCCCTCGCAAGCACATTGCCACGACAAAAGGCTCAAATCCGCACCTTCAGTGTGTCATCCTGATGCACGACAATGCGTTGCCGACATCAGCCAAAGCTGCAGCCTAGAAAGTTATCACAGTTCCTTACCAACCGAAAGGTTGTATCTAGAGGGGACCCCTCCCAGGTGGGCGTTTTCTGCGCGCGTTTAGCTCGAGGTGCGGGTTTTTTGCCGGGGGGAATGTGGGTCTGTTTTGGGGTTTTCAAAAGTGGTGTTTCAGACCGCTCTTGAGTGGAAAAACGGGTCCCCAATGATGCTCATGATGCGCGCTTGCTGGCTCCGATTGGGACCCAAAGGCCCCTGCTGGCTCGGATTGGCGCCCACATGAGGCTCAATATGGCTCAATTGCATCAGGCGCCCGAAGCACTTGTGCCAGGATGTGCAAGGGTCGAGAAGTCTGGACATACTCTGTTCTCATGGCCTAATTGTTCTATGCTAGGCGCCAAACTGCTTCGTGCGTGTAGCTTCGAGTGTCGCTTCTTTGTACGAGACCTGGGTTGTCATGACTTTGGTTTATCCTAGTCTTTGCATTAGTATCTTTGTACCAAAGCTGGGTAGTTTTGTAGTTTTGTCCTACTAAGTTATGACAATCCATGTACATGATCCAACGTTCAAATCTTGAAGAGCTTGGGTCAGTGAGGGCGCTTACTGTAAACATCTTTCTCCCTTTCTGCTGAGTAACGTGTGTCACCTGAAAGCCAAGCGAACAAAGACACGACATCGAGTGAGCGAAGGCCATTATAATGATGCGTTCACTCATGCACTTGCCTCACGAAGAGATAGACTCAGCACACAAATTATACAGCTATTAAGGTGTTTTTTCTCTGCTTTTAACCAATCGTCGTCCGCCCCATTTGAGCGCTCTTGTGCTTTGTGCACCGTTGCAACCAAGAGAAACAATTGGCAAGCCAGTCCCTCCTCCCCAAGTTGATTTTGTTGCTACCAGGTCCACCCAGAAACCTTCGACTCCTCCTGCTGTTGTTTATCGCTCCGATCTCCATGTCAAGGCAAGGGCCAGAGCGTGGTGGATGCAGCGCGCGTGAACCGCAAGGGCCAGGTCGGTGCATAGTTGGGAAGTTGAGGGCTTCTTAGATGAGACTTAGGGGGTGGATTTGAGGTGGATTTTGAGGTTGGGCGAAACTGAGAGTTGTTTTGCGACAATTTTGAAGTGTTGGCAGAAGCTGTGGCCTGAGGCACTAGCCCGAGTTGAGACTTCACGAGCACCGTGCCAGATGTCAGGGAATGGGAACATGGGAACTTCAAGGGCCCGGCCGCAGGTTGTGGATTTCTTGTGCGAGCGCCTCGGCATTGAGGCCCCCGCCCGGGGCCCCAGCCTTCCACACATGGAGCCATGCACCGTGCACATGCCAAATCATGCTAAGCCGTGGAAGACTGTCAGAGGGCTCAGAGCGGGCTCAGAGCGGGTGCCGAGGAAGTAAAGGCGCCAGCTGCCGTGGCTTCGTCAGGCGGCCAAAAGGTTTGAGTGTGAGAGCAACCCTTAGGGCTTAGGTCTTCCCCCCCAGAGTATCATTCACGGCCCATCTTAAATCCCTCACTTGTGCAGGCAAGGAGGCTTCAGAAGCCGCCTGGCCCCCGGATCTGGTAATCTTTCGGGCAGAACGGGTTGAAAAACGAGAGCAAGTTGGAGCCCAGGCTGGAGGATGTGAATCAACAGCTCGGCCTCTGGGTACCCCTGAGTCAGTAGCAGGTTAAGCTCAGGCAACAATTTCGGTCTGCTCGCCCCTGTTGCTCATCGGTCAGTTATCCGGAGCCCCAAGCCCGAAGATATTCTCTGGACAAACTCTCAAGTTACAATCAACCTCCACCCGCGGCGTGTGTGTTTCTTCTAGACTGTCAGTTCTCCTCGCCACGTCATTTGTTTGGAGCTCGGCTGCAGATGTTTCCTGCAGTGGGCCACATGACCTATGAAATACTCAAGCGGCCCCTTAGATTTTTCCCAAAGCCCCTAAAGACCCCCCAAGGACAGGGCCAGGGCTGCCCTTCTTGCAGCAGCAGGGGGACAGGCTTGGGCATGGCCGTGGATCTAGGAGTGGTGGTCATTGGTGGTCCGTAGGGTTCGGGAGGGAGTAATCTGTGTGGGGTGGGTTGGGGTGGGTTGGGGTGGGTTGGGGAATGGAGGGTCTCAGGGTTTCTCGACCTTGCAACTGCAAGAGGCAAGTGCAGCACTGCATGCGATGTCTTGCAAGGAGTGGTCAAGGAATGATTCTCAAGAGTACCGGCGTTCAGAACAACTCATCCGAAGGCGCCGCCGGCAGCAGCGCCAGCAGCAGCGGCGGCAGCTGCGCCCGCGCAGGCAAGGCAGAAGGAGCCCCTCTACTTCAAACAATCCGGAGGTGCTTTTCTGAGTCCTAAAAGGTACAAGCTCAAAATCACTTCAGTCCTCCGTGCGCCCATGGGCACAATCCAACAACCCACCTTGGCAGTCTGGTGAAGCGGCCTCTGCGATGCGGGCTGCGGTTGATAAGCTGAAGGCCAATCCGGAGGCCGACCCAGGGCAAGCGGAGTTTGTACTCTTGGCAGCAGCCCCCCCCGCATGTGCGAGGGCAAGCTGTTCTTTTGAGCTCTGTTTGCTCGAGTGCAGGGGGGGGACAGGGTATTTGCAGCAGCCGACATTTCAAAACCTCATGCTGAGACACTCACTGATGCTGATGGGCTGCCAATGACTCACCATAGGTTTCAGACTGCAAAAATACCAGGGAAAACAGGTCCTTGCAGAACAGTCATTATGATTACCATGCCTGGCGAACCCGAAAAAGGGGCAGGCAGCACAAGACGTTCTGATAACCCAGCCTGTTGAGCGGGCTGCTTATAAGAGATTATCTGACGTGATACAAGGTATTGGCAGAACAGGGTGGGGTATGGGCTGACGGGTGGATGGTGAGGCTGTGTAGGAGAGGCGTCGCTACAGCACTTTTGCAAATCTGCACGATCGTCAACATGAACTAATGTCTGCGCACGCATCTGTGGCATGCCGACACTTGAGGGATCGTGGCTGCGGCAGATTGATCTGTATTGATTGTGAGTGGCGGTTGCTGCTGATTAAAAAATAGAGGCGCTCGAGCAAGCTCGAAAGATGATGGGCAACATTCCCCCGCAGATGCTGCAGATGTGAAGGCCTCAGGATGCCTTTGAGTCAACGCGCGTATCAAGGCACTCTTTTCTTATTTGGATGCATTCCTCTGTTGCTGACAATGAAGCAGCCGATTGATTGAACTTGTAGCCTTGTAGCAGTCGCCGGTGTGATATGTCCAGGTTTGTCATCGCCATGTCTCTAGCCTGCCACAAATTTGGTGGCTTAGCCGCTTGCAGTGCTTAGGCTGTCAGGAAACAAGATCTCAGCCGAACAGGCAAAGAAGGCCAGGCACCATCGGTGCTCAGTTCCGTGGCCTCACGACCACGACCGAATGGCCTAAAGTTGACGTTCAAAGAGCCTAGCAGAGGAGTGAGTAGCTTGAAACTACAGACCTTGTGTGTTCCGGTGAAGCTATAGACATGTTGTACGCAGGATCAGAGTGCTGTGCGTTTCTGTTGAATGTATACATCTGTATATGTATGTATACACTTTATTTCTACTTGTAGAGCACGTTCCTTACATGGATTCGTCACGCGCCAGGCCATGGACGCGATGTCCGACATGAGTACCGAGGAACGCATCCCCCGCTCGGAGCTTTCGCATTTTGTCGACGGGGCCCCGAGCCTTTCGCCGAGCCCCCCCCCCCTCCCCTCTCGTTTCCAGAGCAACTGCAGGACCTCTTAGAGAAGGCGGACATGGCGGCAGATCAGCCTAACCCTCAGTTCGCAGCAACTTAGAAGCTTCTCTTTTGAGAATGCTTGTGCGGCGCATTGTGGCATGCTTGCCTTTTTTGGGTCTTTCTTCACAGCTCCTCTATCTCAGAGGATGGGGGGCCAGAAGGAAACCGTCCCGCCGGCTCCGGGGCTGGAGCCTTAAGTGCCAGTTTTCTTTACGTTTTTGGGCAGTCTTTGTGTGGTGAGGCCTGCTGGCAAGCCAGCACGGTCGGTCGATTGAACATCGCCACTGGCCGTTGGCCGCTGGCACTTTATTGCCAGGCTGAGGGCTGAAGGCTTGATAGATGAGAAATGTGTTCTTCGGTCCTCGTGTCATGTTGAGATAAGACATCAACGCTCACCCATTTGTTATGCGACTCATGAGGTGAGGCTGACTAGAGCCTTGCCTTGAGCATCAGTCACCGGAGTAGCATCCGGGCGGCCGAATCG